CAATAAAAAAAAAAAAAAAAAAAAGAGTAAAAAAATAAAAATAAATAAATAAATAGATAAATATATATATATAAGTAATCAAACAATAAAAAAAAATATACAGAATAAAAAATGTTTCATAATTTTTTCTAATGATTATTTTAATAGTTATACAAGTATTAGAAATAAAATGAATATAATTAATAATAAAGAAAAATTATGAAACTGCAAATTTTTTAAATCTAAATATTTCATTTAAAAAGTTATTTTTAATTTTTTCTTGAGGAAATTGCTTTTCATCACATTCAAACATAACCATATCCCATGAACAATTTGAAAAATAATATTTCAAGTCTTTAAACATACTAGCAATATCTTTTTGTACTTCTTTATTATTTCTATTGGATGCCAATGATATGTGATTACATTCTTTTATTCTAAATTCTGTAAGATTTACTTCTGTATTATTATATTTATATTTTATTTTGTTTTTTTTTTCATCCTTTTTATCATTATTATTGTTGTTTTTATTGTATTTTTTTAATCTTTTAATTTTTTTATTATTACAATTATTAGATTCCATGAGACGTTTATTGTAATTTATATTATAATTACCAGTTTCAACTTTTTCAAAAATACTATAATTATCTGTATATTTGTTGAATACATTTTCACTACTATTATTATTAGGATCATAAAACGTTATATTTGAATCATTTGAGTTTTTTTTAGTTTCCTCTTCAAAACTTACAAATAATTCTGATATTTTATTATTATTTTTTATGTTTGAACATATTACATTATTTGTATATAATGAATTCGAATTAATTAGATCTTTTTTATATTTATTTTTTAAAATGGAATTACTTAAAAATAATTTACTATCATTTTTATGTTTTTCTTTAAAATTTTCTGAAATTATTGAATTCTTATACATATAATTACTACCTAATTTATTTATATTCTTATATTTACTGTTAGATATAAAATTATTATTCTTAATTAGGAAACTGAAATTTTCAAAAATTCTTTTTACCCACTCACATAAAATCGGAATAATCACATATCCATCATTTGTTATTAAAACATGAGCATCACTTTTAGTGTTATCATTTTCCTCATTTAAAAATTTTTTTTTCTTTTTATCTATTTTTTCTTTGTTTTCTTCTCTCTCAAATATTATTTTTTTTTCTTTATCACCATTTTTATTATTTTTTATACAAATACTATAATTATTAGAATTACAGGATATATTAAAAAACAAATGATTAAATGATAAATTTTTTGACATATAATATAATTTTACATAATAAAACATATATATATACAAGGTATTCAAAAAAACATTTACATTATCACAAAAGAAATAACCTGTTAAACTTATATGAATATCATATTTATATGTTTCATCTTTACCATATTTTTTTAATATCTCTTGTTTTTTTTTATGAAGAAAATTATAAAATTTTGAATTTTCAGAAGGTATTAAATGTATGATTAATTTTTTCTTATTTTTTCCCTTATAATTATTTTTCTCAAATATTTTCCCATATTCTAATTTTTTATTTAATACATTACAATTATATTCTAATGATTTATCTAAGTTAATAATATTTTCTTGAAAAAAATTAAAATTATTAAGAAATCCTCTATTTTGAAAATTATTATATATTATGTTCTTTGTAACTGCTACTTTTTTGTTTTCTTCTTTCTCTTCTTCCATATTTATTCTTATTTCTATATTTAATATATAATGAATTTTTATATCATGTATATATAAAGTGCGTGCCTAATATTTCATAAATAAAATTCTCAAATATATAAAATATTAAAATATATTTAAAAAAAAAAAAAAAAAAAAAAAAAAAAAAAAAAAAAAAAAAAAAAAAAAAAAAAAACCAAATATAAAAAAAAAAAAAAAAAATGAATAAAATTAAGTAAATAAAGCAAAATATTAAAAATATAATAATAAATTGAGAAGAAAATTAAAACACTCTTGTAATTTTAAATAATTTCTAAATTTTTAAAAATATACACATATATATATTTTTATTAGATAATATACATTTTTGTATTAACTTAAAAAAATAATACACATTTACATATACATATATATATATATACATATATTAACAAATATAAAAATTAAAAAATTCCTTTTTAAGTTAAATTTTCCATTAAGAAAATTTCTAAATTAATATCAATTAATTCTAAGATAAATTTATTTATAATTTAAATTAAAAAATTTTATTTCACTAAATTTCATTCTTTATTAATGCTAATTTAAAAATTTCATTTCAGCTAATTTTATTACTTTTAAAAAAATTTTAATTAAAAAAAATATTACAATGAAGTATAATTAAAAAAAAAAATATATATATATATATATATATGAATAAATATTCCTTTTTTAACAAAAATCTGTGTTAAAATATTTAGAAATAAGTAAAATAGCTTAATTTTATAAAATTTTATCTTCTTTTGTATTAAAATATTCTTTTTCGTATATTCATATAAAAAAATACACAACAAATGTTTTATTTAAATTTTGTTTTTTTTTTGTATCTTTAAAAATTATAAAGTATAAATTTCATCTGAAGAATAAAAAAAAAAAATAGGAAACCAACTATATACTTAATTAACTTCTGAAATTAACAACATAAATACTGTTTCCTTACAAAATATTTATAATATTAAAAAATTATATAATTATTAATATTCTTCATCTTAAACCAATTGTGTTTTAATTTTTTTTTTTTTTTTTTTCTTTTTTTGTTTTTTTTTTTTTGAAATTTCATAAAAAATTTCTTTTTTTTAAAAATTTAAATTTAATAAAACCCTTAGTTTATTAATTTTGTATTATTCTCATTTTGCTATTTAAAATATTCCTTCATTAATTATATAAGGTGTAAATGTTAAAACATTTAAAATTTTCATTTATGTATAAATATTTTAAAAAATAATTCATTTTTTTTAATTATAAACTTCAAAAAAAAAAAATTAAAATAAGAATAAAATAAAATATAAATATGTTTGAGTGAATAAATAAATAAAATAAGAAAAAATAAAAATTGTTATTAACGTAATATTAAAAATAAAATAGCTTCCATTCTTAATATATTAAAAAAATATTATCTCAGATGATTCTTCAAAAAAAAAAAAAAAAATATCAAGGTGTATTTCAAATCATTTTGAGCATATTTATTAGCTTAAAAATTATAAAAAAAAAAAATCATGTAAGCATGCAAAAGTATATTTATACATTTATATATATGCATATATTTTTTTAATACTTGTAAGTGCCTACTAAAAAAATAGAAATATATATATGAAATTAGTATTTTCAATATAAAAAAAAAAAAAAAAAAAAAAAAAA